TGTCTTCCACAAGCACTCTCTCTCTCTCTGTGGTGTGTGCACTCCAACACCTTTTTGAACCTGACAAGAAGGAGGGTGTTAGATGAGCTGCAAGCAAGCTGTTTGAGCAAATGTAAGTATCCTTCCCTATAATACCTTGCCAGAGAAAACCTCTTCAAACAGTTATGTGCAACTTTCTGAACCATTCCTGCCATCATAAATGGCGCCTCTCAATTACGCACGAAGTCTGTGCAATGAATGGCCACTTACACCATTGGAATCATTTTGCAAAGAAATAAGGAGTGGAAAATGGCGTTTAGATTTCCTGCTCCAAAATGTCAGGTTGTAGGAACGGGGAGAACCCTGTCAAGTAAATGTATCTTTAATAACAATAAAAATTACCCTTTAAGATCTACCCCCAAAAATGTAAGAAGCCAGGCTTATCGGATAGGAAACCAATGTGCACTGACCGTATTATACTGTAGCATTCAAATCGCTTTCAAATCCTAATGAAACCGAACGATTGGTTTGAAATCATTCACCTCCTACAGGATTATACCGTGTTTGTTGCACCGATTAGATGCAATTTTCATGTCTGAAGCAAGGCGTAAATAGGACATTAGTGTGTGCTGAGGTTTGCCATCCAATCGAATTTTTAAAGTTTGCTGAAGAGAGCATGTTCTTATCTTGAACTTCAATTTCACATGAATCAATATAAACTTTCAGGGCAGAATTTTCACTCCAGCTCCACTTGGGGAAGAATTTACTCCAGGTCAATGGGTAAATTCTACCCCAACACTTCTGTTTTGCTGCTAATGTCTAGGTCATCCATCCCAGTCCCTGCTGCATGTATTTTACTGTATTTTTTCACAACTGTTGTAGTGACTGTAGCCTCTCTTACTTCACAAACCACCTTAGCAGTACAGAAACAATCTGGTCTCTCAAGTTACTAAAATATTAAGCTATTTAAATTTTTCTTGAGGAGAAAAGGTCTTTTACCAGTTAAACATTTTCGCTTTCATTGTGGGGGGGGTTCCCATGAAGTTTTGATGGGGTTTATTTCATCTTATGAAAGGTTGGTATTAACAATGGACGTTCCCTCCTTAACTGAGCAGCATATTATATTCATCACAGCACATTCTTCACCCACAGAGCAACATGCAAAGTAAGGTGCTGTAGGCTTGGGAGAAAAGAATGAAACAGTTGAATGTTGTATTGTTTTTGGATGAAGTGCAGGATTGCTGCTGAAGCTCTTATAAACTGTGAGATTATATCTCACTGTGAGACTTCATCTCTATCTCTATCCACTTACACTGGAACTCATTGATTTAGGCAAAATGCCGTCTCCAAGCTCAGCTCAAAGAGTCCCATGAAGAAAAGTGCCTTCCATTCTTAGTTTGACAAAAAGCTTAAACATCAATCTTGAGTCAAGGAAACTGAAGCGGTTTTGCCATCATAGTCTCTGCAATGGGAATGTCACTCAGAGAGTGCCAATCCTCTTCCATTTTCTACACTCGGTTCAGTGCTTGTTATAGCCTAGAGTTCTCATATGAGCCTCCCACATCTCGACAGCACATTTCTTCCCAAGTGTGAGCGAATAGTTCCCATTTTTATACAGTTCTATTGTCCATAGATATGCTGAAAAAGGCCTGGGAGGAGGACGTCAGCTAAGGGGGAGAGAGTGGAGAGGAGATCTGTGATCCGTTCTTCAAGATCAACACCTGCAAAGGCCTACATTGGAGATAATTAAATCCTTTCACATGATGCATTAAGAGTGGTTGTGGAGAGACTGTTACCATATTCTTTAACTTCTGGATTTGCCTGAGGAGCTGGGTCTGCTGGAAGATGATTGGCATATCCATCAAATGACTGACAAGAGTTTCCACTGAGCTTCATTCCAGATGTTCCCTCTTGGGAGTGTTGATGAATGCCCCGTTGGATCAAACAAAGAGCTGCCTCTCATTTCTTGTACATTAGAATGAAAGAATATTATATAACTCACAAAGCTGCAAAAGGCAACATTACCTACTCCCGTGGTCATCGCTGGGGAGCTTTGTAATGAATTGCTGTGCAAATGTTTTGCATAGCTGTGTCCAGACAAGTCAGATTCAATGACAGTGGCAGAGGGGGGATAATTTTCATACCACATCTTCACTTCAACTGTTAAAACACCTGGACGTTAAAATTATAGATGTAAAATACGTCAGTGGAGAAGAGAATAGCACCATTCTTGCCTGTTTTTCAAGACCAAAAAAACATCAGCAACCACAAAGTGTGTTAGAGGGTGGCTGAACGTTAGCCTATTAATAATCATACACAAAGATCTCAATTGCACTACTGAATACCACTGATATCAGCGACGTCAGCACCAAGACAAACCACACTAATTAATCTATTCGAAGCCAAGACAAAGGCACTTCCACCGTAATAAAATTTGGGTAGGATCTATTTAATGGGGGGGTGTTATTGTTTCACACTGCGCACAGCATATTTCTGGTACTTTTTGTACTTCTAGAAGCACAATTTGTTAAAATGCTATCCAGCTCCAGTTAACCTCACAAGTATATTTTTGCACTGACTACACCAACTCCCTGCTTGTTAGCCTTCCCAACTCTTCCCTCCACAAGCTGCCGACCCCATATCAACCCGTCCGTTCCCTCCGCTCAGCAGGCTCTAGCCTGCTCCACGTCCCCCGCACCTCACACCCCTACAACCATCAGCAGCCGGGCTTTCAGCTTTTCTGCCCCCACCCTATGGAACTCCATCACACAGTCCCATCGCCTTGCGAACTCCATTCCACAGTTGTTCCCTTGCCTCCTTCAAGACACGTCTTAAAACCCTCCTCTTTGACTGAGCCTTCGGCCACCCTCCTACCCTCCACCCTCCCTGATCCCTGAGATGTCCTCCCGACGTGAAAGGCTTTTTATAAACATAAACTGATTTGTGTGTTTTTAACCAGTTGGTTTGTTACTTTAAGGCATATCAAAGTGATGCACACCAATATTATTCTACGTATCTTATTTTTATACATCAAACCATTGCAGATATTAATACAGGATACATAACGGTATTCCTTGTTCACCATGAGGACAAATTCCTGCTGATATGTTGTGGGAGGGGGGTGGGTGGCGGAGAGAGGAAGGAAGCACCTACAACTATATGTGTTACTGTGGTATTTTAATAATAATATTCCTTGCATTTGATATCGCGCCTTATCACTTTTATTATTATTATTTTATTGTTATTATTTTCTGTCATATTAGCAGAAATCTCACTGAAGTGCATTGAGGTCAAAAGATCTCAAGAAGTTTAGATGAAGAAGACCCTTCTGCCCATTTGATCTCATTCCTTCAGTATATCAACCCCTCCAGTTTTCCACTTCAGTATCAAACGGTTTCTTAAATGAGTGGTATCCCACCTTATAAACTATCCCAGCTGTTGATTAGCCATTGCATAAAATACGTCCCTGTGTATATGTTAAAGCTGCCCATAACATCCCAGAACTTGTGTCTCCTTGTCTTATACCATCCATTAAACTTTAAGGGTTTAAGGCTGAAAGTATCTTAAAAGTAATTTAACAATGTTTGTTAACTGGGGTACAAGTGTTTAGTTGTTTCAGTGGAAAGCTACTAAACTACCATGTATGTTGAGTTTAATCTTCCTGTCCTTTCCCTATTAATAACAATTTCACTGTGAAACAGGATATTTTGAACCAGTGGGAATAATCAGATAACGTATGGCGTGGAAGGAGTGGGGGGGGTGAACACAGCTTAGAAATTCTTTTGCTGAAAAACTCCAACATTAAAATTCTTTGAAAGCACAGATGCACCAGTATGCTGTAATTAGGTTCAAAAAATGTTTGCAAAACCGATCCAAAATCATTTTTTAAAAATTAATATCAAAAGTGACACGATTTCTTTAATGAGCCATCTGTTGGAGTATGAATGTGTTATATTAGCGAGTTCTTCACTTTATGTTTTTTTAATCCCCTCCAAAATGTTAGCTAGTGAGATTCAAAAGCAGTTGGTTGCAGGAGCACAAACTGCAAATTAAACTGAGGTAGCACCAAAGGTCAGATGCCCAAAAGCAAAGAGTAAGAAGCGACTGGGACACAAAGAGGAGAAACCCTATTTTCCCAGGCAACACATTGCCAATGTCATGTTTGCATCTTATTACAACATAATCATGGAGTCAGGTAGCGTAGTTCTTAGCGCTCTCGCCTCGCAAGCGAGAGGACCCAGGTTGGAATCCTAGTAGCGGCAAAACCTTAGGTAAGTTTCCTCAGTCCACAAGTTTAGCTAGCAGTAACTAGGAACCCAGTTGTTAGTTGATTGGTGAATCGCTTTCTGGGGGATAATAATCCCTTCNAAAAAATAATAATTTGGTCACTCAATCCACGACTGTTTGGGACACTGCTGTGCGCAATTGGCTGCCGCGTTTCACCCACAAAATACAGTCAATCCATTTTACAATATATTCTAAGAAGCGCTTTGAGACATCTTAATGAAGTGATAAGGCGCTTTATCAAATGCAAGAATTCTTATTATAGATGACACAGATTTGTACCTGTAATCCCCCTCCCCACAGTGAGTTCTAGATATCTAGGTCAGTCTCCGATACATTGAGCAAAGACCAAAGCCTTCCCGACAGCAAGAAACAAGTCGAAAACGAATTCTGGGGACTTGCTGGACCGGTTGCTCATTGGCGCTCACAGAAGCCTCAATGTCTATCATCTTGCCATCACCTCTGTCTGGCTATATAAAAAATAAAAATATGACACGTTACGCACCGTACCACATCAACAAGGAAAGTTGAAAGATTAGTGCATGGACACTGCATATCAGGTGCATAATATCACATCCAGTTTTGACAAGTATGTACAGAAAGGGGAACAACAAACTTATTTTTGCTCAGCAATCTCCTGCACATTTTTTGATAACTGACTGTTTCAGGACTGTGTGCATTGGGGGGTGGGGGCGGATGGGGGTTGACATTGAATTACTCAGAGGCTGTGTAAGATGTTCTACTGCTTTAATAAATATTTTACATGGAAACCACATTTTACTGTAAAACACTAATATGTACCAATTTACCACATGGAAAAGGACCCCATATAATCTGCTGCTTTTTTTTTTCCCGTTTGTAAAAAGCATGTACAATTTGCAATTAGAAACATAAACGTGTTGGCCACAATCACAACAGAAAAGCTAATACCTTAATACAAAGGACATAGTCACTTCGAAGAATGTCATTGATCTTAAGGGGGGAGAGCACTTTCCATACCTTGTATGAAGCAATACCACTCCCAAACTAATATCCAGTTACAGATGAACGTCTCTTCAACCAAGACATCATCGTACAGCCCTCATTGATGGCTACGTCACTCCTAACTAAAATCTTTTGTGTCCCTCAGTCGGTAGCGGGGAAATAAACTGAAAAACGTTACTTTTTGAGTTGAAAAGTTAAACACAGTACCATGTTAAAGGGAAACTTGAGTACAATATGAAGCCAGCCACCAATTCACGGACCTTACAGTACAAAATCCATTCTTTGCAACAGTCTGCCTGTTGCTATGGCAATGTTCGAGCACTTCAGGGCTTGCTCATGGGGCAGATCATTCCATTGTCACTTTGCTGAGAATCATAATCCCAGAATAATTTCAAAATGATTCACATCTTCTCTTCCAGATGCGAATTCCGGTCTTTTTTTTAAAAAAATTTAAAATCGTTGCCGAGAGTACAATGGATCTCAGATTCTCTGCTACCGCACAACAATGTAATGCAAGTCAGAATATAAGAAAATAGTATAAAACCATGTACAGTATAACCCCAGCAGATGACTCCCATTGTCCAGCAAACTTTAACACTGTTGTAACAAATTTAAGGCACCTTTGATAACATCCTTGTTACTATCAGTATAAACCATAGTCTGTTAGGTAATCTCAACCTGTCTGGAATGGGAGAGTGGAATGAACCAACTCACATTGTGCTGTTTTTTTTTGTTTTTAATTTTCTTTTGTGATTATTCTTTTCCCCTCAAGATCTGGTCTCAAGAACAGTATAAAGTGCATCAAGATGATAAAAGATTCAACTGCCTTTTCTGCGATGGGCCTGCACGCGGATGTTAAAAGGTATTGTTGACACGACATGTGCAGTTAGCTATGCTGGGTAAACCACTGCCCCCTGCCATCACAAAACAAGCCGGTTCCAATTTCGCTTCCTTTACACAACAAAGTTTGTGATCGGCTACAGGTTGTTTCAACGTGCTGGAATTCAGCCGAGTTTCGGAATGAATCATCCCGCCCTTGTGGAGTCCGGCCTGGCTGCTACTGGCCAGCTTCTCACTGCACACAAGTGGGAGGGCGCTCTCAATGGAAATGTGCTTCTCTGCATCGCCTTCCTTTTGCTCCTCGGCCTCAGGGTCAATTTCCTTATCGCAGGCGCTTGCAGTACTGGCATAGGTATCAGATGCTGCACTGACTCCCAGATCGATCCTGGAGTGAGGGCCATGGTCTCCATACACCGCAGGAGAGTCCATGCCCTGGTGAGAGCAACTGGGCAGTGAAGACCGCGACTCCTCTGCACTGTAGACAGAGAAGGGTATGGATGAATACTGGCCATCGCAGTCCTGGTAAAAGCAACAATCATGAAGGCTGCCGTCATACTCCTTGGCAATCCTCAGTCGCTTCCTGTAAGGAGAGTCCTGCGACCCAAACCAATCAGTGGGTGCCATCTCCCCGAACGAGCACGCAGACAGACACCAGTCATTCTGCATTTCCCCTCGGATCCGCTTCAACAAATTGTTGATCAGCACCGACCGGCGGAGGAACACTTCCGGGTCCTCAATGAACCTCAGTTTCTCCAGTGACAAACGAAGGATATGGGTGCGATCCTCGGGTACAGCCATGGCACGCGCCTGTCACCAAACACAAACAGAAGACAAAGGTTGAGAACTTTTCTTAACATGGCCACACATGTTACGGTCTTCATTAATATCAAAGAGAGTTCATGGAGTGTTTTTTTTTCTCTCTCCTAGCTATCTCTCCCTGGCTTATATTCTCTCCTTGTCCCAGATTCACACCCTCATTGTTGTTTGTTGGACGTTGCTGGAGCAAACTAGCTGACAAATTTGTCTCCATAGCAACGTTCACTTCATTTGCAATTAATCTCATTCTGCCAAGCGCTTTGAGACGTTTAAGTGAAAGGCGCTCGATAAATGTAAACTGTTGTCACCATCACATTCCGTCACATTGTTAACGTAATCGCGTGACATTTGATTCTCATAATCTGCATCTCAAGCCAGTTTGAAAATCTAATTCCAACAGCAAACAATCCAGGAAATTCGTGCAGGTTTATGTGTTTAATTTAGAGGGAAGGCTGTTATTAAAGACGTGGTCTGAAGCCATGTTCACTGTTTTCTTTATTTTTATTCCTTGGGCCATTCTTCCCCAAACCACACAGCTCCTGAACGCACTGCCGCCAATGTTACAGCACTGTGCCACTCTGCCCTGCAGCATGTGCCTTTCGACACTGTAGTTGTTTTCTACCCTTCTACTTTAAAAATTAGTTTTTAAATAACAGATTTAATAAAGATAGGCAAACAGAAAAGCAATTTCCAACCAACATTCCAAAACATATGCCCACAAATAAATAAACCCACAAATAAACAAGGAGAGAGAAAAAAATACTGGTCCTAAATTAAATGAATCTGATTAAAGGTTACCGTATAAAGGAAATGTATGAATGCGAATAACCTACTCTTTGACAGCAGCTGTGAAGAGGTGGATGAAAATCTTCATCTTCCACATATTTCCGTTTGAAGTATGCGATCTTGGACGTTGTTAGAAAATTTGAGATTCCTTTACAAGGTGATTCTGTGAAAATGAATCAATAATAATAATAATAATCCTTGCACTTGATATAGCGCCTTATCACGTCTTCGAGACGTCTCATAGCACTTCACAGAATATACTGTAAAGTGAATTAACTGTACATTTTGTGGGTGAAACGAGGCAGCTAATTGCCCACAGCAGTGTCCCCACAAACAGTCGTGGATTGAGGTGACCAATTTTTTTTTTTTTTAAGGAATTATTACTCCTGAAAAAGCAATCCGCCAATCAACTAACAACCGGGTTTCTACTTACTGCTAGGTAAACAGAAGCGTGTGGAGTAAGGAAACTTGCCCAACATTTCACCCTGCTGGGAATCAAACCCAGGTTTCTTGCTTGCGAGGCGAGTGCTCTACTCCGAATCAACAACAACAACAAAATTACATTTGTATAGCACCTTTCACATGGAGAGGACGTCCCAAGGCGCTGGACAGTCAAGCGTTTCAGATCTGAGTTGGGATTGTGGAGGGCAGGGTGGGGAAGCATGGTGATCGATAGCACGGTCAAAGAGGAGTGTCATGAGATGGGTTTTGAAGGAGGCAAGGGAGGGGGCGAGGCAAAGGGACTGCGGAATGGAGTTCCAGAGGGTGGGGGCAGAGTGGCAGAAGGCCCGCCCTCCAATTAGTGGGGCGAGTGAGGCGGGGGACATAAAACAGGCCGGAGCCCGCTGAGCGGAGGGAGCGAGCAGGATGGTAAGTGGTTAGGAGGTCTCAGAGGTAGGGGGAGCAAGACCCTGTTGGGCTTTCCGTCATGAGTGAGAATCAAGTACAGTTACTGCATGTGGTTAAATGTCTGCTGCTTTTTGTTATTAAAAAAATGCTCTGGTTTAAAAAGATGGCAATATCCCGTTTCATTGGAATGCTTCCTGTTCAATATGCAATGAATGGTACATAAAATACTATTTTGGGGTTTCTATGATTACATGTTTCCCATGAAGGGATTATTTAGAATTAATATAAAAAGTGCAGTTAATAAAGGTTCAATAATGTTGTGTGTACTGTTCTCAGAACAAATACAATACAACCACTCTTCTTGTGTTTTAAAAGGCGTGTTGACTTTATAAGGCAAGTAACATTTCAGCCTGGGTGTCTTTGGAGATGACCCACAGATTATAATAGCAGCAATCTTCTTAATTCTTCCATGTAATATTATTGCCCACTTTACTCTAACTGACTCATTTGAACGGAAGGTGACACATTAGCTGTTTAGTAATGGTCCTTAGGCTGTTGCATCCAATATCAGTTAGATCAATGTAATGGTATTTAATTGGACACAAGCGATTAATCTAGGGTTATTAATCTCAAATCTGTTTTGAATATCTGAGGTTCATATCACAAGAGGGACTCGACAACATTAACATCAGCCATTCGAATGACAGACTGAGAAAAACAGTTCCTGTGTTGTCATTACTGATTTTAGTTACTAATGTTTAGCACTTGGCATCAGTGTTTGTGCTTTTCCATTCCGTCATGAATGAGAAACACTTGCAGCATGCAAGCACCAGTTAGAAAGTTCTTTCTTACATGTGACAGACAATTGCAACATGTTTTTACACAGTTCAACATCCTATTTATGGTCTTTGCTAAACAAGGAACCAAATATGTTCACAGAATGTAGCATATGGTGAAGTCTTGGGGGATGGGGGGGAGGGAGATGGAGAGGGATGAGGGGAGCGGGGACAAGTTTATACTGTGCTTTTCACAGCAATGTGCCATGGAAATAGCACTGAATTGCTATATAAAAAAACACAGTACAAATTGGTTTTGAGGTGTTTGACCGGAAAAGGACTTGCTGAAACCCAGCTGCTGAAATCACGTTAAGGAGGTGGATTCACCAAGATATCAACAACAACTTGCAACAACTTGCATTTATATAGCGTCCCTCACTCAGAGTAGGGTCCCAGAGTGCTTGTTCTTTCTCAGTTCACAGGCAAGGCAGTAGGAATCATTTGAACCTCCACATGCATCTCTCAATGGACGGGATCACCCAAAGACTTGTACCAGATCAATTTAATGTTTTTGAAGAGCCAGGCGTGTGGCTGATTCTTCAATAAGGTTAAAGTCTAAACCAGCATTTGCTCTGCACATGTGTTGTTAAACATTTGCCGAGCTCCCCTGAATTAGAGGAGACTGGTATTAATTAGACTTCTTGCTCTCAATCACTCTATCGCTGGAAGCTATGTTGCATTACTTCCATTAGTATGAACTAGGCATAAGCGTATAGCTTCTTAGATTGAAGCTTTCTCCATTAAATATATCATAATGACATAGTTTTTAAACACACAATTTGCACTTGAGATCCCTTATTCTTGCTATGACAAACAATAGACTGGTAATTGTTCATCAACGTGTAGCGAGTATAATACTGTAAGACCTTTTAAACAGTTCTAGACCACAATATGTATAAAAACAAAGGGGACTATTTTGCTCAAAATCAGAATATGCATATTCTATCTTCTCCTAACAGCAAACTTCAAAAATGCATCTCTGATGATAAATGCATTTGCAATGTGGTAAATCTATTTTGCACTAAAGAAGTGCATTGTGTCTTACGTATAAAAACATTTAATTTCTTCTTGCTGTGAGTTAACATCATCAGGAAATAAATGTATTAAGGATTCCTATGAATTAAAAATAGTGAATAACTGTTAAGAGAATCACAAGGTAGCAACACGTTTGAAATTGAAGTGTTCAAAAGATTTCATAATAACAGTTAGCACAAAACCAGAACAGTTTGTTTTGTCATTGTGAACCCTGAGATTGTCAAACTATTGCTTTAACCTCACACAGAGAGAGGTGTGTCTTATCATTTAATATGAAAAAGTGATTTTTTTTAGTTCATTTTCTTACTGTTGAAATCCGTAGTTTCCATTGTCAAGCTGGTTTACCTAAAGCAATGTTGGGTTTGTGATATGGGACAAGCAATATTACCACATAATGTCTGATAGTGAATCTCATGCAAATTCATTGCCTTATATGTATAGAATAACAGATACTCAAAGTGAATTGGTAACACATAGGTGATGCTACGTTTGGGACCAGAGTGTGATGTGAAAGGCACTATTCATGTCTTTAATTCTTCTTTTGTCTACCCATTCCTTTGTACAATATACACAAGATACTCTTTGCTTGCCTTCTGTAGCAGTTAACTGTACATGTGAAGAGGTTCATGGAAATGAAGAACAAATGGGCATTGTTCATTGTGGAAATCTGGCACTGCTAGTGTAGAATTACAGAAATCTGCAGATTAAAGAGTATCATTTCAGGAGAATCCAGGTCAAAGCACTTGGTATATATTATTGAAGGGTATCTCACCAATGGTAGTGAACAAATGGGAAAGAATCCTATGAAGTAAATTATGGTACTTTTTCACACACGTGAAGCAACATTTTGAACTCGGCCTATTTTTGGGGTTAGCAGAAACCCATCACCATGTTTAACAGTATCCAAACAATTTCACATATGCAGGTCATCTATGTTTCCTATCTATAGTTCCCTGTATCTGAAATGGAAATGTGCATCCGCTCCCTGGAGGAATGCACCCTGCTCAACTAATTCCAGAGAATATTATACACAGGTTGGCAAAAGCTAAGGCTTGGAGACCATACAATGTCCGTTGGGGTACTGTTGGGAGTTTAACCTGCTAAAACAACACAGTTTGCCATTGAGAGCACTGGCTGGCAAGAACTCCACTGCTTGTCCAGCTAGAATCACCCTTATTCATTAGGGATTTGGCTTGCAGGGTTAACAGGAGCCAAGTGGAAAGAATACCTGCCCCTCCAAGTCCTGCCAATGAGCCAGGCTGGCTGGTCTGTCATCACCAATGCCCTGGAGTACGATGTTCTTGGAGTCTGGCTCAGGAATAAAACTCCAAGACTGCCACAGTGGATTGACTGAATTCCAACAACATTCCATTGCCAATCACGTCATTTTAGAGCCAGCTCAGTCCCAAGGAAACCCCACTTTTCTCCCCCAGCTCGCCCTCAGCAGTAACAAATTTAAATTGTTTAATTGTCATAGCTCCAAGTGGAACTTCAATGCACTTTCCATGCTACATACTGGTACTGGGAATTTGTGTTTACCTTCTCGCATGCGAAATATCGGTTCTACGTGCAAATAATTATCAATCAGCCTCCATTTACATAGAATAATGGACACCCGGGATTGATTTACAGGTTAGCAGTTTCACTGAATGGTATTTAAGGTCCCAAATTGCTCATGGTCTTAGCCTTAAGTCCTAAACTTTAACATTTTGGAAAATTCTTAAATTCAGTTTTCATTTTAAAAACAGTTTTCCCGTAGTTCTTTTTAAAATTGGCTTCCAAATTAAGACTGAATTGAAGAATTTTCCAAACTTCTGCACGGACATCAAGGTGTAAAGCAATGATCTGACGTAAAGTTCAAGTCATGTGAACCCCCAAGGATATGCGTTTACTGACTTGAAATCAGACCAGTGTTTCTGTGTTGCAACATTGTGAACCTCTTGTTTCTGTGGTTCAGTTGGTTCCGTTTTGATGGTGACACTGGCCCAGAGTATGAAGACCACCTGCCAGCGATCTCCGCATTGTTAACAAGTGATGTCGTTCTCAACATCACTGTGACATTTCTGACGCCGCTTATTGAGAAAATAAATTTGCAATAGGCTTCAGTAATTTGTGCAATTAAAAAGATAATCATTTCCGATTTGCTTAGCAGTATATATTTTTTAAAACATTGGCAGTGCTGAGTTATTATAAGCAGGACATTTGAAACCAGGGAACATTACAATTACAGTCTTCTAAACCTTTGACAAGGCACAGGGATGCAGCTCGTTGCCAGTGGAAATGTGGGCTCTGCGATTTTTCTTGGTTCAGATTAAATGTATTTCTACATACCTCCACCCCCACAAACACACACCTCCTTCCCCACCCCACCCCCCCAAAAAAAAACAATCCTAAGATTGCGATGTTCAAGTATTTGCTGACTAATGATAATATCCTTTGACCTGGGGAGCAATAGAGCAGCAAATCTGATTCATCACTGACTCTTGTCTGCCTCAGATGTTTTGTGTGTGTGTGTGTGTGTGTGTGTGAGTGTGAGTGTGTGGTGAAGGGGGTGGAGGTGGAGGCAATGAAGGTTAGAAAGCGAACGGAAACGAAATGCAATGTGTGGGTACCTGCTGTTGACTGACCTGTAAGGTCTCCGTATTTAGTCGGGGTGGGAGGCGCGGGGCTTTTGCTGAAAGACTCTTCCCAGATGGGGACGTACTCTGGGATCTCCGAAGGTTCTTCAATGGGAAGATCGCATAGTCTGCTCATCGAAATCACCAATGTCATTGCTCAACCTCGGCACTGCAGATTCAAAAGGGCGAAACGTTAATAAAAAGAAAGGGCAGTGGGGAGGGGATAGAGTCTTGTTTGCATTGCACTGGATTTTGGGGGTGGATTGTTTTTTTGGATGGTCGCTGTTTATTCCAGCTCCTCTCTCTCTCTCTCTCTCTCTCTCTCCCTCTCTCGTGTTAACCTTCTCTCCTTCATCCCTTATTGCAACCCTTCACTGTGATCCCACTTGCCATCCCTCTCTCCCATCCCCTCGGTCCTCTCCTCTCACCAGGGAGGGCGGTGATCCCTTTGCTTCAGTCCACCAACTTTTGCAGTTAAAAAAAAATCTTAAAAATGCCACTCGATTAAATAAAACCCGAGTCATTTTCTACACTCGATCAGAAATATTTAACCATCAGCCGAGGTGAGGGGAGGGGGTGGGGAGGGGGGGGGGGGGGCTTTGCATTATGGTTGGGTTTCTCTGCAAAAAGAAACCACGAACCCATCAAAACCCCTTTCCTTGCCCCCCCCCCCCCCCCCCCCCCCCACACACACACACACACTCCCTTCCTTACCTGTCATTCAGGGCCCGTTCCAGTTGCGAATCGATATCGGGTTTGGGGAGATCGCGAACGAAAATCGCATTGAGATCCGAAGCGGGAGAGCGGGGGGGGAGGGGGGAGGGGAGAGGGGGGAGAGGGGGAGGGGGAGGGAGGGGAGAAGGGGGGAGGGGGAGAAGGGGGGAGAGGGAGGGAGGGAGGGGGGGAGAAGGGAGAGTGGGAGGGAGAGGGGGGGAGAGGAGGGGGGGGGGAGAGGGAGAGGGGAGGAGGGGAGGGGAGGGGGAGAGGGAGAGTGGGAGAGGGGGGGGGAGAGGGAGAGGGGGGGAGGGAGAGGGAGAGGGAGAGGGGGGGGGAGAGGGGAGGGGGAGAGGGAGCACAGGCAGAGCCGAGCAGAGCAGAGCCGCTCAAGTCATAACAGTGTGAGAACCGACGGGACAGGAACATTGGCACCAGATTGACTCTGTGTTGTGTGCCTTTGGGTCCCGGAGCAGCTCCGCGCAACGTCAAAACCCTGAACATTAAACCCGGCCCTGGGGTTTGGGGAGAAAACACTGCACTGAGATCAGGAACACACACACACACACACAGTGCCTCGCGTCCAAAAATCAATCGGTAGCCTCGTCTTTTTCTGAGCTACAGATATTATCTGTTATGCTTTTTTTCCCCTTCTCTCACTACTGGTTACAGTCAACAATCTTGTCTTATAAATTGTTAAGAGGGAGGGAGGGAGGGAGGGAGGTTGGAGCTGAGGAGGAGGAGGAGGGGAAGCAGAGGCTGGGGGTGGGGTGGAGGGAGAGGGAGACTGTGTGGGAGAAAGATTTGATCTGCATAACCATACGGCTTTCTTCCCTTTTTTTCCTCCCCAGTGGTTTATTTGCTGTGTTTCTCTGCCACTTCCACCGAGATTATCCCCACTGAAGCTCTGAGCTCTGAACGGATCAGTAGTGCCAAACATAATTTGGAATCCAATCAGTTTTGCAATGGAAATATTAAGCAGAATGCGTTTCCAATTTCAATCCGCAGACAAGGAGATAAAAACCCATGTGCATACAACTTGGGGGTGGGTGGGGGGGGGGGGGGGGGGGGGGGTGAGAGAGTCACTTTCTTTTTAAGGGGTGGAAGAAGAAAAAAAAACAAATCCAAAAATGTGCAAATAATTTCTTAGCTTTCTCGTTTCTGTACTCCTGCAGTAATTTCTTGCTGGTGGTCACACAAGAGAGAGAGAGAGAGAGAGAGAGAATCTCCAGGGCCTTTGCAAAGTAAACTTTTATTCTACATAACCTGTTTCTGGTTTGCAAAGCATTAAAAAAAAACAGCAGTAAAGTAGCCTCCTCGGGAGAAAGAGGAATCGGAGCCAAGACTTGGGTGTATTCCAGACATTTGGCCATCACGAGTGGTTTCTTTACTTGAACTCCCTCCTCCTTACTCCCCCCCCTCCCACACATACACACAAGTCACCTGAAACACGAGCATTAAATGTTTTTATTATTTATGGGGGGGGGGGGGGGGGGAGAGGGGGGAGAGAAGAAAAAAAATCACAAGACATACCTAATTCTATCAGCACAGCGACTAGTGAAATTGGAAGCGGATGCGGGAAGCTAACGCCAACATTGCTGAGTGCTTAACAGTCACAGCCCCAGGAATCCATCCATCCCACCTACAGTATCCATTTCCCATAGAAGGAAAAATTATTAAAGAGCGGAATGAATGCCCTTAGTCTTTACTGTGCAGAATAGGGCGGGATCGCTTTTTCAGATTGGTTCACAAGAAGTCCACACACACACACACCCCTCCCCCCTCCCCCCACACACACACACCCGGGATAGACTCCAAGAAACAAACTGCTGGATGCCTTTTATAGAGCATTTTGGTTCAAGTGCGTGACATTTCATACACGCGGTCAGACGTGGCAACACCAGTTAATAAACCCGGACTGTATTTGCGCAGCTCCGCTCGCTCTGGGTCCAGGGGGTAGAGATGCCCTGGATGGACAGAGGGTGGGTCAAACCCCGACCAGACCATGTCTGTCCTCTTGTCTGTGCGTGAGATCTCTTACCCCGATCTGCAGCTTCAAACCATTTTAAAAAAATACCACCCCAGGAGTCTGTCTCTCCCTCTCTCCCTCTGTGTGTGTGTGTGTGTGTGGAGTATTTTTTCCGGTTTCCATGATTATCAAACGCAATCGATCTCAAGCACTTAAGCTCCTACACAAACACACACACACACAATCATATGCAGAAAGCATTTCCCACCTCTGGATAAAACTCTGTGCAGACTGAAAGGCACATTCCTCCAGACTTCACATTGTTGGACATGCACCAACAGAGAGGCTTTGTGCAGTCCAGCCCTGAATCCCCACACCTTGCGGTGAACAGGGAACATCCCCGTGGATCACACGGGGTAGATTAGAACATGCCTGTCCTCCTCTGTGCCACAGAGCTCTGACACCTGTGATTATGCATCGGAAGAAAGTTATCCGCCAGATTCAATTAATTTGCCCCTTGATTTGGCTGTGCAGCCGCCAGCGGTGCGGTGGGACTGCACTGTGTAACGCTGTGTGTTTAGTTTGCTCCGCTCTCTGTGTGTGTCCAGACAGGGTCTGGTTTCGCGTTCAAAATGCTATATGTATGTTCAAGTGCCTCCTGGACTGGGGAAAAAATATCCCAAATCGGGCCGCGCCTTGGCATCTGAGTCATTACACGCCCTATCTGGTAAGTGCGTGGATTAGGAAATCGCCTGAGGTTTGGAATTCAGGAAACGTCTGAATGGGTCAATTATTGTATAAACAAAGTCTCCGCCGATTCATAAATTGGCTCTAAATCCTGCAATACACGGCGGATGCTTCTTTCGACAGCGCGACCTGGAACCGAGTGGTGTAGAGAGGGGGAGATCTCCAGTTCCCTGTCCCCAGTGCAGCACTGACACCGAGAGCTTATCTGTTGCATCGATCCACATCCAATGTCAACAAACAAACCAGACCCCTACTTTTTGCACTTTCTCAGCTTCGTTACACCCAATTGGTAACAACAATTACAGCGGGTGTTAACCACAGGCTCCGCTATTCGTAGCCCTTATGCAATCTTCAGCGGCTCTTTTTTTAAGATATAAACACAACAAAAACCTTCCCCCCGCGGATTATCCCGCAAACATCTCATCGAATTTCTTACAACACATTGTGCCGCCATACACACGCACACTCCTTACCTGTGACCTCGCCCCAGTGCCTGGATTGTTGGATTGTACAGGTTTTTCAGGTGTAAAAGGTGTTAGAACATTTCATAAACTCCTCTTATTCCGCCCTCCCCTTCTCCCTCTGTCTCTGTGAGAGTTACAGTGATCTCGGCATCTGCAGATCAAACAGGGAGTTGTTCAGTTGCGAGGGTTTGGGGGAAGAGGCGGAGGGAGGACGGAGGGAATAGAAAATCTTGCAAATCCTGTTTGGCATGTCCCTGCGGGCTGTCGGATGCTTTGCTCGGCAGAGCAGGTGAGCACAGCTCAGGGATCTCCGAGGACTAGCTCAGCCCAGCCCAGCTCAGCCCAGCCCAGCTCAGCCCAGCCCAGCTCAGCTCAGCCCAGCTCAGCCAAGCCCAGCTCAGCCCAGCCCAGCCCAGCCCAGCCAGCTCAGCTCAGCCCAGCCAGCTCAGCTCAGCCCAGCCAGCTCAGCCCAGCTCAGCCCAGCCCAGCTCAGCCCAGCCCAGCTCAGCCCAGCCCAGCTCAGCCCAGCCCAGCTCAGCCCAGCCAGCTCAGCTCAGCTCAGCCCAGCCAGCTCAGCCCAGCCCAGCCAGCTCAGCCCAGCTCAGCCCAGCCAGCTCAGCTCAGCCCAGCCCAGCCCAGCTCAGCCAGCTCAGCCCAGCCAGCCAGCCAGCCAGCTCAGCCAGCTCAGCTCAGCCCAGCCCAGCCCAGCCAGCCCAGCCCAGCTCAGCTCAGCCCAGCCAGCTCAGCCCAGCCAGCCCAGCCCAGCTCAGCCCAGCCCAGCCAGCTCAGCTCAGCCCAGCCCAGCCAGCCCAGCCCAGCCAGCTCAGCCCAGCCAGCTCAGCCCAGCCCAGCCCAGCCAGCTCAGCCCAGCCCAGCCCAGCCCAGCCAGCTCAGCCAGCCAGCCAGCCCAGCCCAGCCAGCTCAGCCCAGCCCAGCTCAGCCCAGCTCAGCCCAGCCAGCTCAGCCCAGCCAGCTCAGCTCAGCCCAGCCAGCTCAGCCCAGCCCAGCCCAGCTCAGCCCAGCCAGCCAGCTCAGCTCAGCCCAGCCCAGCTCAGCCAGCTCAGCCCAGCTCAGCCCAGCCCAGCCCAGCCCAGCTCAGCCCAGCCCAGCCAGCTCAGCCCAGCCCAGCCCAGCCCAGCCCAGCCAGCTCAGCCCAGCCCAGCTCAGCCCAGCCCAGCTCAGCCCAGCCCAGCTCAGCCCAGCCCAGCCCAGCCAGCTCAGCCCAGCTCAGCCCAGCCCAGCTCAGCCCAGCCAGCCCAGCCCAGCCCAGCCAGCCCAGCCAGCCCAGCCCAGCTCAGCCCAGCCAGCTCAGCCCAGCCAGCCCAGCTCAGCCCAGCCCAGCCAGCTCAGCCCAGCTCAGCTCAGCCCAGCCCAGCCCAGCCCGCTCAGCCCAACTCAGCCCAGCCCAGCCAGCTCAGCCCAACCAGCCCAGCCCAGCCAGCCAGCCCAGCCCAGCCAGCGCAGCCCTGACCAGCTAGCCCAGCCAGCCCAGCCCAGCTCAGCCCAGCCCAGCCAGCTCAGCCCAGCCCAGCCCAGCTCAGCCCAGCCAGCTCAGCCCAGCCCAGCCCAGCTCAGCGACCTGCGCTCACTGCTGAGCTGTTGCCTGTAGCAACCCCAGTAAGGGAGACTTCTCTCCTCCTCTTCCTCTCCCCCACCCCCAACACCCCCACTCCCTCCCCCCAAAACCCCTGCTCCAATGTAAATAAAAAGGGTTTTCATCCAGAAAATGAAGTAAAACTCGCATAAGTCTGTTCTGTATCAATCATATAATCACCTAAATCATACATCTGCCAAGTCCCATTCAAGAGTTTATATTCTATATAAAGTTCTGCACTGTCCTATAAAGTCCAAAATAGTCCTGTAGCTCACTGGTTAGAGCACTCACCTCGCAAGCAAGAGATCTGGGTTAAATTCCCAACAGGGCGAAATGTTGGACAAGTTTCTTTACTCCACACACCTGTTTACCTAACAGTAAGTAAGGAACCCTGTTGTTAGTCGATTGGTGGGTCGCTTTTCTGGGCTTAATAATTCCTATATAAATAAAAATAATTTGATCGCTCAATCCACGTCTGTTTGTGGGACATTGCTGTGCACAATTGACTGCCACGTTTCACCCACAAAATATGCTCAATTCATTTACAGTATATTCTGTGAAGCGCTTTGAGCCGTCTCGAAGATGTCATAAAGCACCGTATCAAATGCAAGGATTATGATTATTAAGTTGTATTAAATGTATGGTCCCAACTGGTACGACTTATGTGAGGTTTACTATTACTTCACTGCCTTTGAGAGGGTAACCTTTGACTCCCCTAGCCTGAGAGCTAGTGCTTTGCAACTTCAAAAAAGAGATCTAACTGATAATAAAAGTTTTAAATCCCTATGTTTGCAATCAAAATGCTTGCTACAAAAGTTTTATAGACCTGGTTTTGAGGAAATGAGGAATCACATCTTTCAAGTGTAACAGTATATCCTGTGAAGTGAATCCTTCAGATGTCTCGACAATGTGATAAGGCACTCTATCAAATGCAAGGATTATTATTATTATAAATTCTTTAAAATGCATTTTCAGTGGGAATACTGAGCAAATTTAGCATCTGTCTGGTTTTGGACCAGAATATCTGGACTTTTCTAAAATGAGATCTACAAGTTCATCTGCATTTGTATAGCGCCTTTCATGTCGGGAGGATTTGGCAAAAGGTGAGAAGACAAAGTGGCCAAAAGACTAACCTGTCCTCACTGCAAACAAAATTTATATGTATTAAGAGTGTATTATAGTGTGAGTGCTGAAAGTTTACTAAGTTTACAAATGGGCAACCAATGCAGTGAATTTTAGATACAATTATGCAAAACATAGCTATAACAGTAGGAAATTTATTCAAAATAATGTACAATTCAGGATTGGTTTTCAAAATAAGTGAGTACCATAAGATCACAATAGAAGGTTGTGTGAATAAAATCCTTGAGCCCATCTGATCTCATTGTATATCAACGTGATTTAATTTCAGTCCGAAAAAAGTCATGTGTCAAAACCCAGCAACATTTGCTATGCCTGTCATTAACACTTATACGAATACAGATGATATTCATATAAACCACCTTCAGTAGTTCCTTTGAGTTGTGGTATTATATATATATATTTCATAACTTGGATACATTTTGGTGTACCGTGTATATTCCATATAGTAAGTACCACTGTATATGATGAGTACAGTGGAGTGAGCTGGAGACCCAGTATTGCCAGCTTCAGACAAAGAGGCACTGAGATGTTTTCAGGAACCCACTGAAATGAATAGAGCATGATTTAGCTATTTACGGTGAAAAACTAAAAGGTGCATTTCTTTTCACAAAAAAAACCTCACTGAGAATATGTGAGATTTGAGATGTCTATGTTTTGATGGTGTCATCTCAAAATAAATGAATATCAGCAGAATCCAGAGGCTGAATGATAGCCTCAAACTACCTTTGCAGCATCTGGGTAACTGCATTTTGGAAATCAAATCAATAGTATGCACTGTTACAGCCACACTGCAACTGAGACAAGGCTGTGAGGAGAATGTTAACGATGGTTAGAATTGATGAAGCTAGGATACTCGCAGAAGCACATAATAGCTGATTATAACCTGTGCAGAACAGAATAATCGATTTATCTCATTTACTAATGTTTACAATGGGGCTCTTTGTTTTTCAGAGTAACTCCAGAGTTAATTTATACGATGTGAACAGTAAAGTTTATATCACCTGAAGGTAATGCAAAATCTTATGTGTAATACAGTGATGCATCTTCTTTCCCCTCCTCCACTTTTCTACCCTTCCTTCCCAAAGATACTGACTCTTCTCGGGTACAATTTCACAGACACTAATACCTGATCCAAAGTGATCATTCTTCTAGTGTGAGCACTTGGGAATATCAGCGATGAGAAGAGGCTGTCAGAACTAAACAATTTTTCTCTTGATGAAAAGAAAATTGAAGGGGCAAACATGATTCAGGCTTTTAAGACCCCAAACTATATAGTTTATGTGCATATAAGTCGCTTTTTGGCTCAGTCATATTATGCCTACGAGGAGATTCTCAGACTCTGCGTAAATGTATTTATCTTGGTGCTGTGAGTTTACCATAAGGTAATTAATTCATTCAATTTAAAATAAAATATGGGCAAATGTGAAAATTGAGGACACATTCATGAAACATATTGTACAATTCCTACAGTGTGATGTCTACCACTTTTCTGACTATCTCCTTTGTCATAGCATCTTTTGAGACTCTCCCTCTTTGCCTCTTGCATCAATTATTTAAAGCCTGGGGGAGCACCACCTGTTGCCCTCCGAGCCCTTCTGTTATGTGCTAGTTTCATCTTTGAACAAGGGAGCAGTGCTGAGTGAGACACAGTCATTGCCACATGGAATTTTTTCCCGGAACACATCTACTCTTCCATCGTGGCACAGGCATCACAATTAGCATAACTCTGCTGTTTTTATGTTTATTACTTTGTTTTTTATTTTATCACTGATGTGTCACTGTCAATCCACGTTTTCACCACAATCATTTGCAATGTCAGCTTTTTTTAATATGTATACATGTCCTATCACCCCACTGAATTATAATCGTAATGGTTTACCTTGGTGCTTTGTTTCGGGTCAGTTACATCTGGATCTGATCTCTTATCGGGTCTTTTGAATAGCAGACAGCGTCACTGCTGCCCATGACATACTGTCATCCTTTTCCCCATGTCTGGATACTTTGGGCTGCTCTCTCCTGACTAACGACTGCTGCAATCGCTCGATTTCTGTGTCCATGAGACTTGCAGTGCTACAACTGTAAGTTGTCCTTTTTTACTGAGCCATTGATGCCTGAAACGTCACATTCCACAACTGGATGAACAGACGTTTTGAATTTACAAACCTGAATTAGATTGGTAAAATACTTTATCAGAGGGAAATACTGAACATTGTAGGTGCCTCTACATTAACTTTTAGGTTTCTATTAACAGAACATAACAGTGATAGATTTGCCATTTGCACACTCGGCATCGATGTATTTCAGACGTCAGTACGTATCTTTATCACAGAATTGTAAAGTTCTCTAAATGGACGTTTATGGTTATATTTTACGAACAAAGGAATTTCAGCCGCTCCCTGTTTTTTTTTCTTTACATCAAATTTGAACGATTTCCAAAATCTCAGGCAATACTTTTTTTCTTGGGAGAAAGAGGGGGAGGGGAGACTCATTTCCCCTGCTCTC